GCATGTGGTTACTCTTGTCCATTGTTATTCGTGGCGGGATGACCGTTGCCGCGCATGGCTTGCCCCGTATCCATCCACCCTGTCACATGAATGAACTCAATAGTATAGACCAGACAATGAGACGACTCTGTCTTCATTATTACACGTAGCACGGTCCAGTCTGCTGTATGCACGAGTGACCAATATTTTCCGTCAAGACATCATCTCCTTGAATTGTAGATTCCACATGTGCAGGCTTCACATGCAACAGCGTCCTACCTCCATTAGGCCGAATCATAACTTCGTAAAACATAGGCACCACACACTCCTTTCCTCCGGCCTTTCCTCCGGCACAGGGATATTATTCACATGACTAACCCACCACCTTCTGTGTAGCCTTATCAATCTTGCCTCTGGCCGCCTCGTCCAACACTCCCCACCACTTCCTCAGCCCGCTTGCATACTCAACCTCCTCATCGGTCACTTCCACTGGCGGGCCCTTAATCTGCGGCAGCATCTCATCGTCACCCATCTCAAACACGGCCCACGCAGAGGCATCACTGACCCTGAACCCAAAACCACGACCCTTCATCGACACCACCGTGACACGGCGTAGCAGTACAACATCCCCTATGTGGACGACGGGCAGGGAGGCTTGGTGCGGACGGAAAATGTGCGCTGCACAGACTCCAGACGGCGCAGAAGACGGGTCGGCAAGTGTCAGTTCGAGCATGTAGTCCCTCGGGCCGTGTTTAGGGCGGTGCGGTTGCGGAGGCGTGGATGTGGCTACGGCGAGCACATCGACTGTCTTATTGAGGAATGTGCGGAGGGAGCGAAGGGGGACGTGGTCGGGAAGCTTTGTGCGTAGGTCCTTCTGCAGTTGGCGCTTCAGGGCTGAGAGTGACTCGTCCTCGACGAAGGAGCCCGATATAGAGGGGGATACGAGCACTTGGTCGTCACGATGGGTGGTTTGGGTTTCGGGCGTGGCGGCGCGCCTAGACATTCTTGTTCCTATCGGGGAGGAGGGTTCTTCAGAGTGCCCCGTCATGCTGCGTGTCACCCGGACTGTTGGACCGGGTGTTTCGTCTCTTTTGGATGGCTCCGCCGACCATTTGGCAAGGAGGATGCTTGGATCCTGATGGTCGGGCTTGGTGCTTCGAATGATGCGCAGCATGTGTGGCGAACTGCGTTCATTGCAAGGCTCTGGCTCTGGCTCGACTTCATCCGAGCAGTTTTGGCTGCTGGCTTGAGCTAAGAGCACACTTGGATCCCTAGGCGCTGAACTTGTAGAATCAGCAGACTGGGTTTTGTAGTGAGACTGGCGGCGGTTGCGCAGCGACGCAGCTGTGATCAGGACTTCGAATTCCTGTGATTGTCCTTGTTCAGGTGCTTCAGTTGCTGCTTCTGCGCCGGGCTTGGCGTGTGCTGTAGAGCCTTTGTAGGTGGGGGATTGATACTCCCGATATTCCTTCATGATTTGGTCCTCAGCGGCAGCGGAATCGTCGTATTCTTTTCCTTCCTCCATCTCTTGTGCAGGTGAGGGTTCCGTAGTTTTCTCTAAAGTCTGAGTTTCCGGGGATGTGGAAAGCTGTATATTCTTTGCAGCTTCGGTTTTGTCCGTTTGTTGTTCAGGTTCTTGTTTGACAGCCGGCTCACCTAGCTTAGCAGCTGGTCCCTGAATATCAACAGCTGGCAAGGGCTCCATCGTCTTAACACCGTCCATGTCAGTGGAGGGCTCTTGGGCTACCGTTTGCTCCTCAGAGACATCCGCCTCATGGGGTGTGTTTCCAACATCTTCAACAGGTGGGGCTTCGGCGGCATCCTCCTCATGCCACGCTTTCTCTCGGGTATCATCCTTGGTGGTTTGCTGAACCGCAGTACCGGACATTTCAGTCTCTTCAACGTCATTCTGATTGGCAGGCTCTGACACCTCGTCAACGTCCATCTCATCATGTTCTTCCTGCTTCCCTGTAACACCCGCTACCTCAGCATCGTGAGATGCTGTGCTTGGTTGAATCGGCTCGCCTTCGGTGACCTCATCTGCTACGGGTTCGGATTCTCCACCCTCCTCCTCTACCTCGCTGTCACCAGGATGTCTCGTAATCGTGGGCTCCTTGATGACCTGTTCATTTTTTTCTTCTTCATGTGGTGATGTCTCATTCTCACGCTGGTCCTGTTCTCCTCGCATCATATCTCGGGGTTCTTCATTCGGTGATTCTTCATATCTTTCCTCATCTTCCGAATCGGATATCAGATCAATACAAACCGGCTCTCTTGGGTTATGAGGAGCCGATAGGTCGTCAACTGCATCCTCTTCCTCTTCATCGTAATCTTGCTCGTCGTACTCTTCTTCTAACTCTTCGTCTTCGTCGTATCCGTTCTCTTCATCCATGCCTTCCTCATCATAGAATTGCTCTTCTTCCTCTTCCACTTCTGCTAATTCGTCATCTTCTGATCCAGCAAATTCTTCCTGTTCCCTGGCTGGAAAGCCTCTATGCTGCGTTGTGCGCACGTCTTCTTCTCTCCCATCCCCCTCGTCCTCGCTTGTATCGCCATCCTCTTCCGAATATATGGCCTGCTCGTCCACATCGCTGCCTGGGGCATCTGAACCTTCTTCTGATACGGATTGATCATCATCCCGGGTGTGTGAATAGTTCCGTAAGTCGTAGTCTTCACCCTCTATGTCCCCTCCATCATCTTCAGAGTCGGATTGTTCTTGTCCTAGTGTTGAAGCTTGCCCTGCTATTGGGGATGCCTCCTGATCTTGGGGTGCTTCGTCATCTTCTGCGGGTGATTTTGATGTACGAAAACCAGTGCCATGGCTGGCCTCGGCCTCTACTGGAGGAGAACTAACAATTGTTACTGCAGCTTGCGAATCTTGGCGCTCGTTTGGGAGTGGCGGATATGAAGACACAACTTCGGAATGCCAAGTCGGACTCTCTCGTTGAGAAACATGTTGGTATCCATGGTTTGTTGAATGGACATCATGTTCTTGAAAGTGCAAGTTTGGGTCATGGCGCATCATAGGCTCGGCATAAACTTGGTCTGTTGTGGCAAAGTCGGGGTAGCTAGGTCCAATGGTGGCCTCAAGAAGGCGCTCATGACTTCCCATCAGTTCTGGCGGTGCAGACACGGTCCCGAAGGAATTGGGCACAATGTCTGCATGAGTCGTCGACAGCCCAAGGGCGAAACTGTGATTGTGTTGACTAGTAGCGACATGAGAGTCAAGGGGTTCCGTGGCAACATCAGACACTTCATCATGCAGATGCGAGCGACTGAATAAGTTTCTTGACGGAGTATGCAAACTTGGACCCCTTTCGGGAAATAACCCCGGCGTTGGTGATGCCGTCAACTCTAGCTCAGGAAAATGCGCTTCAGCCGAAACCTGAACGTGCATGGAAGAAGTGAAGTCATGTTCTTGAGTCTGGCACCCTTCATCAACCATTGCAGACCGCTGCGGTGTCGGGATAATTTGCCTAGAATCTGCTGTCGCGTGTATTTCTTCTGTGGATTCGTTTTCTAGACTTTCCGGTTCTGATAATTCTTTCGTTTCGGGACTCGGCGACCGACTGCTATATCTCCAGACAGCATTGCCCATACTAAAACGGGACTTTCGCCTGCTCTTCTTATTCTTCTCCTTGTCATCTCCGAATAAGTCTAATTCACCTTCGAATAAAGATCCGTACGAAACTCTAGCCCGTTTTATGAATGCTGGCGATGCATACTCTTCCGGTTCAAAGGTATTGGAGGCAAGCCGTTTCAATAGGACGGTGGCGTGAGATGATTGCGCGAAAGGAGTTGAAATCTCCTCTCGGTCTTCCACACCGACAGACGCCGGTGGCGGAGTGATACGCGAATCCGGGCGAGACTCCAGCACACCATCGACAAGGTCTTCTGAGGCACTAACATCAATGGCATCTGGGCCTTCTGATTCGACCCTTCGAATAGAAAGCAATAGGCGACTGGTGAAGTTCAGTTGCCATTCGAGCGATCCGCCTGGCAAACCGGTCTTCGCATCGTTTTTGGTCCATTGAGCACCATCTAAGCTTATGCGAAGTTGGTCTCCACCGCCAATATTCGCATCTGCAAAGGCTTGGCCAGAAGCACCGCGCAGCTCGACTCGAATTTGTCCACGGTTACGGCGTATGAGGATATCATGCTCGGCGAGGATGAATGCGATGGATTTTGTCACGGTACTGTATGGCCAAGTGATGGTAACAACACCGTCGACAACCCGAGACTTTGCATCGGCGATTTCAGGATTTAATTGGGCTATTGGTGTAGCCAGGGATTCTCGAAGAGCGTCCAACGGCGTTCGATCTGCCATGTCGATGGTCAGAAGCTGAGGCACCTACGACTGTCATGTGGGTGTTATCAGCATGCAAAACGCGTTGTAGAGCCAATCGCCCGGGTCAGCAACTGCATCATTTAGGCTGTGTGATGCAAATGAAGGGGAACGGGAGTCTTTGTCGCGTGGATGTGATTGTGATGTTTTGCGGAATTGGAGCTTCAATCCAGAGCTCGAATGGCTGCTGAGAAGCTTGTGAGAACAAACTTGAGCTTTAAAGGGCAGGCGGTGAACAGAGGGTCCAAGGCATTCGAGCCAGGACGAAGCGAGTGAATTGCTGGTGGGGCGCAAGTCAGTTGGCCGTCAACTGCCAACAGCTGACCGGGAACTGGTAAACTGGCAAGCCGGCAGTCTGAGTCTGGGTGGGCCCAGGCGGCGGCAAGAGCGAAGCACGCCTTTCGAACTAATTCAAGCAGCCGGCGTCGGCGTCGGGCGCCCTCGTACCCTCGGAACAAATACGTGCGTCGGCGCCGTCATCCAATGATGGCATCACAACACTCACTGCTTAGTACTCGGTGCAACTTACCTCAGTCCTCAGCCGAAGCATACTTGTCTTCAACAGATCATGATAGTTTCGGGATAAACAATCCCCTTCTCCTGTTTTTCCTCTGGTTGTTGTTTCTTGAGCTTTTATCAGCACCCTTTCCCTGTCCCGCTCCCGCATCTCGACACCATGGGCTCGATATACCCGAGCACATTCAATGTCAAGCGCATCGCGATCATCGGCGCTGGTCCCTGTGGACTGGCCGCAGCAAAATACCTCCGAGCTCAAGGCACATACGACCGAATAGTGGTCTTTGAGCAACAGGCAGAGGTCGGTGGTGTCTGGAACTACGACACCGTTGTGCCAGCTCCGAATCCTATTCCCCAGACAAGCCCATTCTTCCCTCCAGATGAACCAGCCCGTGTGCCGCATGAAAAGTTCCCAATATTTCCATCCCCCATGTACAGCAAGCTGCATGCCAATATCCCCAAATCCCTCATGATGTTCTCGGATTTGGAGTTTCCACAAGAGTCTTGGATATATCCCAGCCGTCACGATATCCAGCATTACCTGGTGAGATACGCTCAGGATGTGCGGGACCTGATCAAGTTTTACTTTCAGGTAAAACGCGTCCTCCTGCAGCCTGAGAATGGCCAAGATAAATGGCAGGTGACGGCTCAGTCAACCGTCGATGGGCAAGTTGTCCAAGAGGTGTTTGACGCTGTCGTCGTGGCCAATGGACACTACTCTACTCCCTTCGTCCCGGATATCAAGAATATAAGGGACTTTCATCGGGCGCATCCCTCAATCATCATTCACTCCAAGAACTATCATTCTGTGGATACATTTAGAGATAAAAAGACGGTCATTGTTGGCAACGGGCCGTCGGGGTTAGACATTGCCTACCAAATCAACAGCGTGTCCAAGGGGCAAACCATTCTGTCAGTTAGACACGAGACACCGCCGGGAAAGCTGCAGCACACTGGCTGTCGGGAGATTGCCGAGATCGACGAGTTTCTGGTTGACGAGAAGGGAGTGAGACTCAAGGACGGGCGCGTGGAGACGGATATTGACGCCATCATCTTCTGCACGGGATTCCGATACAGTCTCCCGTTCCTCAACAACCTTGAAAAGGATCTCATCACAAATGGCTCAAGCATACATGGCTTATACAAACACATATTCTGCATTCAACACCCTACCATTGTTTTTTCCGCGCTGAATATGCGCATCGTCCCATTTCCGGTCTCGGAAGCCCAGGCGGCGGTATTTTCAGCCATATGGTCCAACCACCTGCCGCTGCCGCCCAAGCCCGAAATGCTGAGGTGGAACAAAGAAGCAGAGAAGGCTGGCGACAGGCTGCATATTATGCCCGATGGCCAAGATGGCGTCTACTTGAACGAGCTGCATGACTACGCTATGACTGCCTCAAAACTGGGCAAGGAGCCGCCGCGGTGGGGGCGTGAGCAATTTTGGATTCGAAGTATTTTCTTGGAAGCAAAAAGGGCATTCGAGGACCAGGGCTGCAGGGCCACGACTTTGGAAGAGCTGGGCTTCAAATTCACCCCAGAGAGGGACGAGGCGAGTGCCAAGCCATGAGGGACGAAGACGACATAATTGGAGGCGTAATCACGTACAGCATTCAGTGGTTGGTCCTTTTTTCCACGTTATGAGTGAGATGCAAGATGTGTTGGCTTGGCGGACGCAGCTTGCTTTCTGTCCCACCAGAGTAATTGCTAGACAAGACCGGCAGGCGGCATCAGCAATTCTCGTGGCTGTGGCTGGTCAGTTTCACCCCGTGCGTTGATCCCGTCAGCCAACCCAACCAACAAGCCGATGGACAATGCATTAGGCATCCCAAAGGCGATCCATGTCGATTGTACTCCGTACCAGGGGGTATAACCCGTTGATTCTTAAAAACTTGAAAAATCGTCACTCGTCAAACATTCCTTGGTCCAACCACTTGTCAAGTTCCCACGCTCTCTACACAGCCGTTTCCGCCAGACTCATCCTACCTAATGGAGTCACCAACCACACATCAGCCACAGGTCTCGGGGATCACAGACTTGGAACGAAAGTTGATATGGTGGCTCTGCTTTACTCTCCGACTATTCCTCCAGATGGTAATTCGAAACGCACTTATTCCAAGACGATGGCTAGGAACCGGTATGCTTCCCAACTTGGTCTACTCGTCAATTGCCACATGGCCAGTGGTCTATCTGCAAGAAACCCTATCCGGCGAGCCAGCCCTCAAGCCGCCGAAAAGTCTTATATTATATGCCCTGCCTCCTGTTCTCGTTGTGGCCGCGTTTGGAGACTGTGAAGAGGATGCATGTTGGCCGGGCTATCTGGGGGCACCAAACGGCTATTGAACCCGCAGGCTTCCATCATGCGTTCCAGACGGCACTGGGAACGTAGCTGAACCGTCAATCCGCGTGGTTCCTTCAAATTGGCCTTCCAGGTCGCTTTGTTGAGGCACGGAAGATCGTTTGCCATCCGATGAAGACCATAGAACCTAAGCTTGGGGTTTTGCACTATTAGAAACTTTTCTTTGCGAACTAGAAGGTCATTTGAAAGCCGTTGATTTCACCAGAACGCTCCTTCATCTAGACTTGTTTATTTACATGCATGCGAGGGTCTTGGGTCCTCGAAGCAGGACGCATGTTGGCAACGCGAGTCGATCCACCTCGGACGCCACCAACACTATCGGGATGATAGCTCAATAGAACAATAGCAACAATCAGACACAAACATGTCATAGCATTGAATTCCTTGCTTGATTGCTCTATTCCTCAAATCCGCGGGCGCAATTTCGTCCTGTCTTGTTTCGTCGAGTAAAACGGACCCGCGCAGTCCTGAATCAGTTGCGCAGTCATCTATACCCGATACGTGTCTCTCTGAATGCGTCAAATTACACAAGCTATGGCGTTATGCTTCTACTGCACGACAGGACTTTTTGTGTCAAGCTCAGACTCATGACAGTAAGTCGCATTTATTGTCGTCGGCAACGCAGCAGGCACGGTGCTCGTCTGTGCCCGGGCCGATGTCCCATGCCATTTCAAATCGCCGGATTCATACCTCCTAGTCAAGCGTAGTAAAACAGGACCAGTCTCTATACACGTTGTCATAGTGCGCAGTATTGAAAAGCGGCGCTATTGGACAATCACCGAATATACTACTGCATCACTCGTCGGTTCCTCCGCTCATGGGAGGCATCACACCTACGCCTGGACAGATAGTAGATAGTCTTTACAGCTTATATAGTACGATACGAAATGTCATTCTCGTTATTTTGCCGCCTGGTGCATGGTGTGATGCCGTAAACGCCTCCGCAATGTCTAATTTGACGTGAAATATTCATCCGCCAGTTAACAAATTTCTTTTCTCTAGAGATATTGATATCAGTTTATGTGCCAAGGCTCGAATTCCACTACATCTGCTGTCTGTTTTTGAAGATCCGTCAAATGCAGCTCCGCCACTGGATGTAAGCTACCACTACTGAGACAAGTGTCCTTCTTCCGTTCTACCATTCTACATCTTGGTTCAGAAGAAAATTGGAGGAACTCGGCAGGAGAGTTGTCACATGTTCCCAAAACCATCAACCGACTTCTTCATAACAACGAGCACGTACAATTCTTCGGAACCTAGCGCTTCCTGGGCGGCATCTCGGCACAGATGACGACTGTCCATGCTGAAATTTCAAGCAGCCCGCACAACGGAGAAGATATCACCGCCGGATATACTTTCGGCACGAGTCCAACCATCTCGCCTACTGGTTGTCGGCACAGCGCGATATACGAGTACGCCGTACGTCCCTTTCACCGTGGTATACATCCTGTCTTTCACTGTAAGAATGGCCATTCTCAGCTATGCATCCACGAATGGTTTCTCCAGGCGATTAAGCTAGCCATTGGTATCTGGCACCCGGATAGAAATCCCAATATCTTCCAGGGTAGGTTTGCCAAAAGTTTGCGTCATGGCCGCAGAACCCAGCTGGCATGTCAGGTCCTAGTCTCTAGGAACATTCGCATCCTTGGGGCGAGTGGAAGGAAGAGCTTCGCCGACTGTCAGACACTAGGCTGAGCCACATGGCTAGATAATTTGCGTGGCATATTCTTCAAGTCCTATCGAATTGAGCGAGGCCCGAGTTCGAGCCACACCCTCGCAGACGGAGCAATACTTGGAGTCTTGGACTTTTCCCAGGAGCCGTATCTGATACTTGTGTATTTGGAGCTGCAAAGATCGTGAGTAAGATGGCACGGGGATGTGTGAGGTTTGATTTTACTACGGATCCCGAAGAGGGGGATTGGAGTAAGGCAAAGATTAACTTTCAAGACAATAGCCAGGTGTTGCGTGCTCAGGAACGCGGCTGGTGTTTACGGCTTGGCGTGGGCGACAAGGCCGACGTTGACGACTATGTGCCACAGATGAGGGCATCCGCATGATCAGGGGTGTCGTCGGGGATGCTACGGCGGCAGTGGAGGTCCAGGTCGGAGATGGGCTTAAAACGTTCTGTTGAAAACTACATCTGATCACGGCAACAATCGTGGCGTGTATAAATTTCACCCACCGAGGGGACATGCATCACTCAACTTCGGACACGGACGGATAACGAAACAGGTGTCTCTTATGACTACATATCGACAGCCATGGCAAGCAAGTCGCCCGTGACTACTCAAAGACATTCACTTCATTGGCAGGAACGCATATAAAGTCAATCATCTCATTTCATTCAAGAGCTGACGTTCCGGAAGCCATTACGCCTCGACATAAGTACCAAAAGCCATTAAAAAGACCAACCCCCGTTTCATTCCCTTCTGTCCCGCTGCACACCCAGTAAGGACAGCTCTTCATTTCTTCTTCACCCCGCACTCAGAGGCAGCCAGTTACTGCTTCTTCTGAGACTCCTTTGCAAACACGGAGGCGTACGGGTTCAGACGCAGCATAACCTGCTTGTTGCGCAGAGGGTTCTTCTTCTGCACGGCGGAGCGGCGGGTGACGGCCTCGCCCTTGGGGGCGTTGAGGGAGCTCTGGATTTCAGAAGAGTTGATGAGACGGGTGAGGTCGGCCTGGGAGACGACGTTGGAGGGCAGGAAGAAGTCGCGCTTGTGGGCGGAGGCCTCGGTGGTGGAGCCGTAGATGTCGTCGAGGGCCTTGAAGGCGGACGAGGTCCAGACGATGAAGCGGCCCAGGTGACCGCCGGGGGCGAGCTGGAGGAGGTTGAGGGCCGAGACGGGCGAGGTCTCGACGCCGGGGATGTTGCGGAAGGCCTTGACAAGCTCCTTGCCGTCCACCTCGGGGTTGTAGACGACGAGGGGCCCGCGGCGCTGGCGGTGGCGGCGGCCGCGGAGCTTGCCCTTGCCGGCGCGCAGCTTCTTGGAGTTCTTGGCCTTTTCGAGGTCAGGGCCGGCGCCGACGGCCTTGAGGAGGGCCAGGGCCGGGGCGGTGCGGGAGACGGCCGCGGAGTCGAAGACGGCGCTGTCGACGACGAGGGGCACCTCGGCGACAGTCATGATTTCGTGACCACGGGCCATCAGGAGAGGGGCGGCGGCCGAGGCGGCCAGGGCGGAGCAGGTAGCGTAGCGCCTGGAACGAGAGATGTTTGGTTAGTCGCGGTAAAGAATCATTGCGTGTGCGGTGGGAGGAAAACGTACTTCTGGCCCTGGTTGATCTTGACATGCCACTTGCGCCAGATCTTGGTAGGGGCAAACATGCGGCCGGATCGGCACATGTTACCAAAGGCAGCCTGACCGGCACGGTGAGTACCACCACCAGAGACACGGGGGATACGAGCAACAGCACGTCCTATGACAAGTTAGTAATTCTTGTTTCCGGTGAAAACGACGATCTCGAGGAATTCCAAGACTTCAACAGGGCAGGCTCAATCCCATCTGTCTGTTTCAGACCAACCCAGAAACCAGTTTTTTCTTTCTTCCGAGTATAAGGCCATCGACATCCAGACAGGAAAAATGCCCACCTCGCAGCAATTTCAAAAGTTTCCATGAAGCACGTACCAGTTCCCCAGGACTCGGCAGAAGTCTGGTGGCCAGCCTTCTCGCTCACAGCGTACGGCTGGCGCTTGTTCTTGGCCATGCCGGTGTGAACTCGCTGCACGATATCCGGTCGGATAGGGCTGGTGAAGACGGCAGGGACGGGGTGGGTGGCTCCCGTGGGAGCACCATCTTTGCCGATGATAGAGACGGTAGGTCGCGAAGCCATTGTGACGGTTTGGGGGGGACTTGGACCTGTGAATAGTAAAACAGAGTTAGGACACCAAATATCGGCTTGCGGTCGCAGTCGGAAAGACAGACAGTCTTACCTTGGTCGTCGGGCGGCGTGAAATTTGGTGGATGGAGGAGGGTGCAACTGGAGTGGGCTCACGATAATTTCACCAGAGCGAATTTTTGCCCTAGGTAAATTTTGGTGGGCGGGCCCTAAAAATCAACTTCTTAAGCGAGGGACGAGTTCTTGCTTCTCATTGGCCACATCCCGCCTCCCAATCACACCCAAGGCATTCCACTCCGTATGTACACAGTATATTAATGTCAAATCACTGTGCAGCTTCCACAGTTCTTCCCTCGCTCAACCCCACTCGAGTGCATGCCCATCTGATCACATCGACTGAGAGCAGGTGCAACTTCGTTGGTCAAGATGTTCGCATATCCCGAAAACTAGCTGCCATTATTATGCCATCATATCATCATAATATCGTAATGTATGCTATATCATCATCAGGTTTATCAGATAATTCGCATATATGTAAACCCAACAACATGTTCCTTATTCCTTATTCTGCTTCTACTCCCATCGCTTCCATTCCTCAACAAGCTTCTCTACTTGTTCTTCCTTCCACGAAGCCTTCACATTAGCTCGGTCTAGTTTAACCAACCTCTCGTAAATATCCTTCTCTATGCGTCGTCGTTGAACCACCTTTTCCTCCAAGTAATTGGGATCATTCCTGCGGCAAGATCGTCTAAAAATGTCCCTCATTCGAGTCGAGTAGAGTTGGCATGTAGCCGAAGGCAATCTTTGTGCCTTCATATAAAAGTTTCGTGCAACGACGTTTCCGTCTCCCAGTTTCGGCTTCACAACGTCATAGAAGCAGTTGCTGCACACGGTAAACTGGGGCAGAAACTGCATCGTATGCCAATATCCATCCATCACAGGACTGTCCTCACGGCACTTGGAACCCACCGTCAAGTACCACAGATCTCGCGCCAAATCATCCACATTTGGTGGTTGTTTAGCCTCAAGGGCCTTGTCAGAAGTGGTTTCCAGGGCATCAAAAAACAACACAAACTGTTTCCGTTGCGGCGTAAAGTGTAGAGAGCACATGTCTTGCTTTGGTCTGGCGTCAATTGGTACAAAGACGCCAGTCAGATTTGGCAGTAACAACTCAACTGATCGCGCACATTGATAACAGACAGAGAAGTCAGTAACTGGTTGTCGTGTATGAGGATCCTTGACAGTAAGCCAAGTCCGGGTCGCTTTTTTAGTACCAGGACATGGCTCTCGGTTGGGAGCGGAATTAATGGTAGCAAGTTGCTGCAATAGCCGCATATCGGGAATATCGTCCTTCACAGTCAACAACCATGCTATTCTATACCAAGGTGAGACCCCAAAATCGCACGCAATTGGTTCATCGGATGGTCGAAGGATTGGCTTGAAAAATGTTCGATATTCCGTTGTAGAAAACACCGAGCCGTAGCATGTAGGACATATGTTGAAGGTGGTATGGGGAAGAGTGAGCCAATCTACCATGCCTGCAACAGGTTTCTGGCGTGGGCATTCAGGCAGGCTATCGCTTGTGTCGTTCCCATGGCTTTCAGAATACCGTCTGTAAGCGCCGACTGGTCTTTCAGCTTGAACTCCCTCCTTGTCAGGATTAAAAGCCGGCGGCTGCCAAGCCGGCGGCATTGCTGCAGCTGTCGACGGCGTTGTTGGAGTATCATAATTCGAGTCAAAGGAGCGTCCTGTGGTAGTTGCAACTATTGGCGGTGGCTCAGGCATAGACACAGACCCCATGTCAGCAAACTTTAGGTGTCTTGCGTCCAAATTACTGTCTTGTATGCCGAGGCCAACGTCGGGTGGAAGATCGTCCTCGGGATATGGGAGCAGAGTGTTGGAGGCTCTTGTTGTGCCAATGTTGGTTCGAGGTGGTGTCATTATCGTGGGTTCTCTTGGCGCATTTTTTGAGGCATCATTCATCATTTGTCCAGCTGCGACAGTGGCTGCGGTTGCGGCTTGAGCCATGAGCGGAAAAGTAGGTGTTCGAGAGGAGGACCGCACATGTCCTGGGTCATCATCCTTCCGATCCTGTTGGAGCAGTGGCTTTTCTTCCTGCAGTACCACTGGTGTCGATGGCAGATAACCGGAGCTGCGAGGACTTTGAGAATATTCATCTCCAGAACGACTCGGTTCTCTAGAGGAGCGAGGAGAACGCTTGAGGCCGGCGTTGTCAGAGCTTCCATAGGAAGAAGCATCTCGTCTGTCACTATTGGAGTATGAATACTCGTCACGGTACCGGGGGTCAACATCACTCGTCATTCTCCTCCTCGACCGGCTGCCATCCAGATCCGTATTGGATCGCCTTGCGGACGATGACGATGCGCGATCTTTGCCATAGTAATCGCGGTCTGGACCGCGGCTTGTCTCAAACTTGTGACTCGAACTGGATGGCGACCGTCCATGGTACCCCCCAGAGGGTTGACTCATGCCATGATACCTCTTCTCGCGTCCTTTGGTTCCACTTTGAATGACATCTGGAGACAGTAAGTAATCGCCGTAGGGACGAGACTGGCGAGGATCGAAGTAATCTGGTTTGCGGCCGGTAGCCGCTGATCGGGTTCGATGATGTTCAGGTTCGTGGCGGTCATCCAGTTCGGTATCAATAGCCGGCAGATCTTGCTGGCTTCTCCGACGGTCCGGTCCATATCGTGATCCGTTGCCAGCATCTTTTCGTTTGCCGTAGTTGTCTTCTAGTCTTGGCGATCGCTGAGAGGACGTGCGTTCTCTTCGATCCTGTGTATCGTCCCGAGTTTCCTTCTTGGGCCTGTTGTCTGCAGAGGGGGCTGGTCTCTTTGAAGATTCCGGGACGACTACGAAACGTCTCTCGGGGTTATGTTCATGGACATCCTCCAGGACATACTTCTGGTCAACATCGCCTCTGCACTGTGGCTCTTCCTCGGCAACCACAGATGCTGCAGGCGAGCCATACTCCCTGGTAAGAGACTCGGTCTCTTCTTCAACGGTAGGCGGCGGCGGACGCCATCTTTTCGGCTCCGGCGCGGGTGCAAGGTATACCGTTCTAGGGACTTGACCGTGTACAGGCACTGGTGGAGGGACGGGTTCTGGGGGAGCATAACGCGAGGGTCCGGGAGATCGAGAGGAATCGTCCGGGCTATATTGATCAGTTAGCAGGTAAATCCTGCGAAACATGGCCATAACTGCACCATGAAGGGGTTACACTGACGGGTCTGTGCTGCGAGTTCTGGACGTGGTAAAGTAGCCCGTCTCGAGCATGTTTTGGATATTGAGCGAGTCTCCCATGCTGAATTTCTGCTCACAAGTTCCACCACACACTAGGCATTGCCGCTGTCTTTAAGTCGATACTATTCAAGGACGGGGGTCCCAGTGCAGCTAGTTCTTTGCCGACGGGGAGCAATGCCTGCAGTATTGTCGCCAAACGCGGTTGGAGAGCCAAAGACGCGACCAATCGACGAACTTGGAGGTTGGGCTAGTTGGGTATTCCAAGCTCCAGATGCCCAGTGCCCAGTGCCCAGTGACTGGCCAGTGAGCGACGGTGAAGGAGGCCGCACCGGTTGACCAGTAAGGAAGGCAGGAGCGGACGAGCGACAAGCAGACGGAAGGAGCAAGTGAAGCAATGCAAAATGGGGCAAGGCACTCGCACGAAGGCAGGAGCCAGCGGTGAAGACAAAGAAGTTGCTCTACCAAGGCCGTCGCGGGAGTGCCAAATGGGAACCAGAACTGATTTATGACTGGCGAGACTGGCTCAGGGTTCCAAGACTGCAGACTGCAGACCTGTGCAGAACAGGTGGTTAGAGGCGCAGCCAACCCCATGTACGGAGGAGCAGCGATGACATAGTTGGTGGGGCCGGGCGTGGAAGGGCTGGACAAAGAAGATTCGGCGGACCATTGAAGCGCCAGGGGACATCGGGGGCACACAAGTTGACACAACAGGCCACTCGCTGCAGACGAGCCCTTGACTAGGGAGTCGGGTTGCTCCAGGCCATCTGGACACACGGGCGCCCGGGACACCGAACACGATACGGAGCCGACGGGATCAAGCGTTGAAGTCTGTATTACCCAGTGCTCCGAGCGGCCCCTGGCAAGCCTGCGCCTGGTCCGTGGCGCACCTCAACAGTGAAGATGAAAAGTCAGCATTGGCACTGGCACAAGCACCAGTGACCCCTCAGCGGGCGGCCCGCCCGTGGCCCCACTTAAAACTCTGGGCTGCATTCCTACCCCTTGCCCTGGTTGTCGCTTGACACGCGGGCAGTCAAGGACCCATCCCAAACATCTCGTGTCAAACCACTCAACGCCACATCTCACTACCCTAGAGTAGAGGCGGAACCGATTTCTCACCAACAAATGCGTTGTTTCACGCTGCGCTGACCGGTGCAGCATGTAGTTGGTTCAATGTTCACTTCACGCGGGCATAATGGCTACTTGTATACCGTTATTGAACGGTATTTACCGCTTAAGTACTTCCGGCAGAGTCCATGGCTCAAGGAAAAAGTGGCTGGGTTAAACCGCCAAGTTGGCTAATGCTCCCATCAGCTCATGCCCCAGCTTCATCTGCACGACAAGAACCGATCTTCATGCGAGCAAAGCCAGCCTCCGTAAACCCACCACTACAGCCGCACACTGACCAGACATAAAATCCGGGCCAAGACGAACTGCGCCCAGAAAACAAGTAGTCAAGAAGCGCACACCTCACACCTTCCTCATCTCATGTCAAGGCCACGAATTCATTTTCACAGACTCATTGATAACATTACACGTGAATAGCCCTTTATTCGCCCAGACGCCAAGTCCACGCCGCCCTCTCAATCCTCCAGGAACTCCTGAATATCAGCATCCTCGTCCAGCGCAGCCCTTCGCCTCTCGTCCTCCTCCAACAGCTCCCTCAGCATCTTTCGTTGCCGCACGCGCGCCTTCTGACCCCAATCTGAGCTGGTACCGTCGGCCCCCGCATTGTCGTCATCCGCGTACAGCTTCTCCTTGATGCCGCGGTATTCGTTGGGCGTGAGTTCCGGGTGAGGCAGCTTGTCGTCCTCGCCGCGAGCTGCCCTGTCGTCCCTCTCCATCTTCTCTACTGCGCCCTTGGTGACGGCCTTGAGGAAGTATGGCCGGAGGAGCATGTATCCGCCCGCAATGACGACGATGCGGATCCAAGACTGCAGGGTCATGCTGTTGAAGCCTTGCGAGATGTTGCTGGTGGCGTTCTGCCCGTACTCGGAGAGACGCGCAACGATCTGGCCGAGGAGGTTGAGCGCCGGCGGCTGCTCGGCATCGACGGGCTTTGCTTGCTGGTCCATGATGGCGTTGCGCCCGAGCCGATTCGCTTCCGGGTGGGAATATGATGGCTGAGGTTGCCGCGAGGTGAGTTGTTCGCTGCGCCAAGAGTAGTGATGCGTCTTGGGACAGCCTGTGACTGGAGGTGAGATGTAGTCGACAGAAAATTGTTTGTGGCAGGTGGATCCTTGGTATGTACGGAGTAAGTACTTGTGACTTCCGGGGCGGTTGAAAACAATGGATGCTCCGGCGATGCAGAGTTTGGCCCGGCTCAAACACGATCGAGAGTGGGAAAATGACGGAAATGAAACATGGAAACGTGAGATTGGCAATGTTTTCTTGCAAAAGACTTTTCTTTTCCCATGGGGACTCCTTGTCCGGAGTGCCCAGGTCTTGCTGATGCAGCAAGCCTATTGGTGGGTTCCTCCGATGACGCCGGTGGAACACCCCACATGGGCGGCCGTGTTCCCGGCCGATGGAGAACAGAAGTATCTCTTTAGCTGCGGAATGGCTCGCGGAGACTCGCGTACCTAACAAAATTGTATGGCAGAGCAGTCTCCACAAGCCATTCCGCATCTAAAGAGATCAGTCTCTTCGGGGGACGTTCAAAGGCAACCTCTCAATGTGGTCATCAACCGTCAAACGTCAAGTGCTTCGGCAGCGCAACGCGCCTTCGCCTTCTTGTGCGTGCGTGGTCCCGGGCTCGGCTTTTCGTGCTTGGGTTTCCGTCAGCAATGCACCTTTGTGCGCCAGAGTGACAAGGCGCCATCAATGCATGCCTGCCAGCGGTGTCGTCCTGAGAATTCGAGAAGGTGCCGGGAATCACGAATCATTCTCCCCCGTACAAAATCAGTGTCACAACGCTGAAAAAAAGAAAGCCTCTGTTGCCCGTCCGAGCCAGCGCAATGCGACGGTATTAAGGACTCTTCCTTTCTTCTTCTGTCCCCATTCTCCACAGGTGGGGGCTTCGATATTGGTCGCTATGGCGCGATTCAGGCACATCAAATTCTTCAGTGACTCAACGGCCAAGGTTTAGCGGCGGACGGACCTTGATTTCCCAACGAACCAGAATCTCGACGCGCGGGATGGCCCCCCACACAGCCGTGCCTTGGTTTATAATACATGTACTGTAGTTGAACCATTGAGCCGAGGTGCTGCAGCCACTAACGTATGTATTGTACAGGATCTTCCATTACAACCTGGGTATGCTGGCCGCCGGCCCGGCAAAGTTGCCGCTGCTAAAGGTTTGGTTAAAAGTCGTTACCGGTCCCCTCTCCACGCTTTCCTACGAAAATTGCCTTTCTCCCCATCTTTTCTGTCCAAGTTAGCCCTGTAACGGACGTCAGGGAGCAGGTCGTCTTGGAAACAAGATGACGGAAAAGCTGGACCAAACCGCTCAAGTCAACAAGACTTTGAATGGTTCAGATTCCGGTCTAGACGCCCTTGCGCCGACGCCAAGTCGCTGTACGCAAAAACTGGCTGAGTCAGATGCGGCTATGGTACAAGGTGAATGGATTGCTGAAACGGGTGCACAGGTCTCGCGTCAAGTCTCTCGTCAAGCCTCTCGTCAAGCTTCTCGTCGTGATGTTGAAACTGCGAGCCAAGAGCTCAGTGATTCCACCGACGATGACGACGACTTTCCTGATGGCGGCCTAGAGGCTTGGCTGGTGGTGCTAGGCGCCTGGTGTGTTTCGTTTTGCAGCTATGGTTGGATTAATAGTGAGTGACAAAATGCCCTTGGACGCTTTGCCATGTCTAAACCATGTATGATTCTCAAAACTGCAAGCCGTAGATTGCTAACCCCCTTTGTTAGGTGTTGGGACCTTCCAAGAGTATTACCAAACTGGACCTCTCAAGGAGTATACTGCAAGTCAGATTGCTTGGATCCCGTCAATGCAAATCTTTCTCATGTCGTTCTTGTCGCCATTCACAGGAAGAATCTTTGACAACCATGGTCCAAGATCCTTACTCCTCGTTGGATCTTTTTTGCACGTCTTCGGTCTTATGATGGCGTCATTATCGTCCGAGTACTATCAGTTCATGCTTTCCCAGGGACTCTGCAGCGCCATTGGTGTTTCTGCCAGCTTTTTGGCGGCCATTGGCTCTGTAAGCGGCTGGTTTAAGAAGCGTCGTGGCACGGCGTTTGGAATATTCGCCACCGGGTCCAGTCTTGGAGGCGTCGTGTTCCCAATCATGCTCAGCAACCTCATCAAGACTGTTGGATATGGGTGGGCCATGCGCAGTGCTGCCTTTATCATCTTGGCTCTTCTCATTGTGGCCAACTTGACCATCAAGGCTCGACACGTGAATGGACGACAGGCGCTTTCGAAAGAACTTCTGGCACGTCCATTTCATGAAAAAACGTTTTTGCTGTTGCTTATTGGTCTTTCCTTGGTGCCGTTTGGTCTGTATACACCAATCAATTTTATCCCTACTGTAGCCAAAGCGGAAGGAATGCGAGACTCCCTCGCTCAAAATCTGATTGCGTTTTACAACGCTGCAAGGTGAGCTCGTGATGAAACTACCTACATCTGCCCGAGACTCTGATTTGTTTCTAACTTGCTTGACCAGCTTGATTGGCCGTGCGGGCTCTGGTCTCCTTGCCGATAGATTTGGACTCTTCAACATCTTCTCGCTAGCCTGCTATGGCGCTGGAATCTTCATCATGGTTCTGTGGATCCCGGGTGGAGGAAATGACGCTGCAACGGTTGCTTTCTCTCTGTTGTTTGGCCTCTTCTCCGGCGCCTACATCGCGCTATTGGGGGCCTTGGTGGCAAGAATTTCGCCAATTGAAGAAGTTGGTTATCGGAACGGCATTGGCCAGTTATTTGGTGCTGTTGGTGGCTTGGTCACAGCTCCAATTGCTGGTGCCATTCTTCAGGGGCCTGGCGGCGAGATTGGGCTGAAAGCGTTTGCTGGAGCGTTCATGATTGTTGGAACAACTGGCATTGTTGCAGCACGAATATCTCAAACAGGCTTCAAACTGTGGGTTAGGTTTTGAGCCATGAAAAGTATTCATTCATCTACTGCTCGGTGGCTCAAGGTTACCAGCGAGCAGATGTTAGTGCGACAGAAAAGCATTCAGAATTTAGAGTAATAATCGAGCGAGCGGTCATGTATTTAAATTGAGAGCAGGCGGATGCTGAGAACTTTTCGAGGCTTTCTTAATTGATAGAAGTGTGATCAGGACTTCAAGGTGTGTTATAATACGAAGGCGCACGTCTTGAGTGTCGTCAAACCTTGTCTTAAACTGATTTGAAATCGGACAACTGAGAGTGATGCTCCTCTTGTACAGCTATGGTCAACGGTAGAATATCTGCCCACCTAGAAGTATATGCTAGCATACTTTCGTATATTATAGTAGATAGCGCGATAGCCAGATACCTGATCTGCCTCCCACTGTAGACGGGACCTCACGTGATGCGCTGGCTGCCACTTGCAGCGGCAGGCACGACTGGCCCCTGTCATGGGCCTTTCCAAGCTGCCGTCCATTGGAGCTCATAAAAATTTCGAAGCGGCGTCTCCATAAAGATCCAATACAATTGTACCCTCCAGCATAATCACCTCCTTTTGCACCAATCCTCCATTCATTCTCTTCTTCAATCGGCGTATTCTGGTTTCAATTATCCGTTTATTTCACAATGTCTGTCGCTTTTAGATCTGTTGCGCCGTTCCTACGGACTGCGCGGCACGGCTTGCGCAGTGGCCGTGTTAACCCCCTTCAGACGGCCATCAAACCCCAAACCGCCTCTGGCATTCTCAACATCTACCGATCATACGCCGTTTTTGAGCGAAGCAAACCCCATGTCAACATTGGTATGCCTGTGAAATGTTCTCTTGAAATAAACTAACTCTAATGTTGATTCCCAGGCACCATTGGTCACGTTGATCACGGCAAGGTAGGATGAGAACGACACAGCCATGCGAAATACCGGACAGCTAACCAATGGCTATTTTAGACCACCCTTTCTGCTGCCATCACCAAGCGACAGGCCGAGAAGGGCCTTGCCAACTTTCTCGAGTATGGCGCCATTGACAAGGCTCCTGAGGAGCGCAAGCGTGGTATTACCATTTCGACCGCGCACATCGAGTACGCTACCGAGAACCGTCACTATTCGCACGTCGACTGCCCTGGCCACGCCGATTATATCAAGAACATGATTACTGGCGCTGCCAACATGGATGGTGCTATTATTGTTGTCGCCGCCTCCGACGGACAGATGCCCCAGACCCGTGAACACCTGCTCCTTGCCCGACAGGTTGGCGTCCAGAAGATTGTAGTGTTTGTCAACAAGGTCGATACCATTGATGACCCCGAGATGTTGGAACTCGTTGAGATGGAAATGCGCGAGCTTCTCAGCACTTATGGCTTCGAGGGTGATGAGACCCCTGTCATCATGGGCTCTGCTCTTTGCGCTTTGAACAACCAGAAACCTGAGATTGGCAACAACAAGATTGACGAGCTCATGGCCGCTGTTGACGAGTGGATTCCTACCCCTGAGCGTAGCCTGGACAAGCCTTTCCTCATGTCTGTTGAGGATGTCTTCTCTATCTCTGGCCGTGGTACTGTTGTCTCTGGACGTGTTGAGCGTGGTGTCCTGAAGCGTGATGAGGAAATCGAGCTCGTTGGCAAGGGCAAGGAGATTATCAAGACCAAGGTTACGGATATTGAAACTTTCAAGAAGTCTTGCGACCAGTCGCAAGCTGGTGACAACTCCGGTCTCCTCATCCGTGGTGTCCGCCGGGAGGATGTCCGCCGCGGCATGGTTGTCTGCAAGCCTGGCACGGTCAAGTCTCACACTCAGTTCCTCTCCTCTCTCTATGTTCTTACCAAGGAAGAGGGTGGCCGCCACACTGGTTTCCACGAGCACTACCGCCCCCAGCTCTACCTCCGAACATCTGACGAGTCTGTCGACCTGACTTTCCCTGAAGGTACGGAGGATGCTCAGGGTAAGATGGTCATGCCAGGTGACAACGTCGAGATGGTTGTGACACTGACCAACCCTAATGCCATTGAGGTTGG